AGAATATTCTGTGTATATAAACAAATAAATAATTATTGAGCCGGAAGAGGAATTTATCGGAAAGGGGATATTCTTTGCTCGATGATTTTGTGTTTTAATAAATAGCTGAATGTTCTGCATACTTGACATTTAGACTAGTTCCTTTCGAAATATGACGGTTTTTTACGCTGATAACATACTGAGCTTACATACAGTTAACCTCTGTGCTTTGTTTCAACTGTTATTCCTATTTTTTTCAGTGTAATGCGTCACACAAAATATCTTGGAAATCCCTTGACTTCAACTTTTGAAATACAGCGAGGAAATTCACGAAACAAACTCACCAATTTCACTGCACATTCGAAAACACCTTTGCAATGAATATATATATATATATATCAGCATATGAGTGAATATACCAAATAATAATTATACGCGAAATCATCTCACAAGCTGATTCAAAATATTCACCAATTTTCGAAACGTTTACTGATGGAGTTTTTAGATTTATACATGATTCGAATCCATCAAAAAAGGCCGCGTCTTCTTTATTCATCTCCATAAATCTCGTTGGCTGAGATCTAAGGATTGATGCTAAGAAAGCAATAACTGAATTGCTGGATGGTGACTGGTAGTGAGTAACAGAATACAGTTCAGGATAAAGCCAATTCGTCTATCCTATTTCGTACTCGTCCTCCAGCTGGATATACCTAGATTCCACAATGAGTCAGTCATTGATGATGTTCCCACCACCGAGGTTTAAACACAGTGTCCATAGATTCAAACACCAGCCAAAGCGTTATCCACTAGACGACTTTGGTGACGAGAACCACCCCACCTCTTGTGTTCAACGTGTCATATTAATTATTTAATTGAATTTAAGATTTTCCCGTCGTTTGATTGATTGGACCGAAGTGCTCGGTCTCAGGTTGACAAGAAGCCAACATGTCAACCTGAGACCGACCACTTCGGTCCAATCAATCAAACGACGGGAAAATCTCAAATTCAATTAAAATAAAAGCAATAACAGTTTACGAAGTATGTGAGAAGGTTCTTCAACGAACAGTTCTCGGATGACATTGAGTTATTAATTACATTGATCAGTACTCATTGCTTCCAGCATGTAGGCGTTTTTTATTCGCAACACTCTGCATAATTTTTCATCTACAAAATGTTAGCCAAGCTGTTGGTTCTCCTGGGAATAATCATTATCCCCTGTACGCGTACATGAGAGTAATTAGTAACATTTAGTCACGTTGTGATAGGTGAAGCAGTTCACACAGGGCAGAGATTGAAATCTTTTGTCTTCCGTACATGTGATAATAGTTGGGGACTAATGTAATTGATCATTAGAGCCTCCAACAATCTTACCGTTGAGTTGTTAATGTTTCGAAGTAATTTGAACAAACTTATAAAACATTTTCCCTAGTATAGCTCCACTTTTCAAAAATAAAATCAGCAAATGCTTTCTACCCATCCCCCTTTACTGCTCCCCATTAATCTTTCCTGGACTACTTAAGAAAGACTTTGCATTGCTTTGCTGAGAAGGGCAGGCACTAAAAGCCGTCAGTCAGTAGGGCAAGTGGGATATCGTTAAACCAACTAACTGGTTAACACTATTGTGGATAGACATATTATATCATGTAAGTAATTAGCGAATACAATATTGTCGGACCCCGAGAATCCTCTCTATACGCAGCTCTCTCCTTGCATTTCATCTGGTAGAACTAGAAGCAGCTATAGGAGGCTGGCTGGCTATATGCTAGGACTACCAAGTACAAAACCTCCACAATAGCATATCTGGCACAGCTGTTATGTGCGTGATGAGAAATCCGTTAGGTATGACACGATCAACTTACTGCTGCACTTTAACAAATAGTCCCATTAGTTGTTTTTGTTTTCCTTTCCTCGTTACTATTACACTGTTGTTCTCATCTTCTATCACACACCAACTTTATATTTCATATCTTGTGGTGCATTGTTTGAAATGTAAACTCTGCGCTGTTTGTTTTTTTTCATTTTATTTTTTTATTTTTATTTATCTTTTATTTTTCGGCGTTGGCTTTTATTTATTTATTTTTTATTTTAAAAATCTTATGAAATTTATGAGGCAATTAGATGCAATATACTGTAATGCACGCTGAAAATTCCATACCTGTACCACAAATACCGTTTGGAATAAAACTGTTATTATTATTATTAATTCGATAAATATTCTCCCTTGACAAATATGTAATTACCCTACATGTTCATGGCTAAAAGAGTAAGTTCTTTCTTAAAATATGTTTGTTTTCCATCTCTTTTATGAATTGAAATAACGAAGCCAAAAAAACATTTCTCATGTGAACACCTTCCTTAATTTGAAGTAAGGCATTAAGAAGACAAATTTCGCTGCGAGATGATGACATCATATCGTAGTTTCCGCTTTACAACTGTTAACATGGTTAACAATAATAAGATAAAATAAAGATCATGAAAATTACTCAGTTAAATAAAAAAAAACACAAACGTACATACTAATGACCAATCATATGGTAAGATGAGTTGAAACATTATGGACTAACATGGATGCAGGTGAAAAGTAGAAGACAGCAGAAGACAGAAGCAAGCAAGTGGTGACGTGCAGTTGAAGCTCTATATTCCACCAACTCGATCATCACGTCCCCAGCTCGATCAGGAAACTAAATCCTTATTTGAGGAAGAACTAGCTAAACACATATCCGAGTTCGACAGCTGTGCTCACCCTGAAGAAGCTTGGAATAATATCCAGGCAGCCATAGATACAGCTGTAAAGGCTGTGAATAAGGTAAACCCAAAGGTGAGTAAAATCCATTGGATCTCTACCGCCTCATCCGAACTGATGGATGCTAGAAGACTTATTCCGGCGAGCTCCGAATTCAACGAGGAGCGAAAGCTACACAAAAGGAAACTTACGAAAAGTCTCCGCAAGGACCGTGAACAGTGGTGGGTGACAAAAGCGAAAGAGATGGAAAAAGCATCAGCGATAGGCAACACTAGGCAACTCTTTAGACTCATCAGGGAAACGGGAGGGAGAAAGCAAATCATAAGTGAGACTATTTCTGAGAAAAATGGCTCCTTAATTAGCTCTCAGGATAGACGCCTCGAACGCTGGAAAGAACACTTTGAGGGACAATTTAACTTGCCTACAGCCGCATTGAACCTCCCCGCCATCCAGCACACACCTGAATGGGATATAAACACAGGTCCTCCGTCCCTAACTGAGGTTACTAAAGCTGTCACCAATCTGAAACTAGGCAAAGCAGCGGGACCTGATGGAATGACTCCAGAGGTATTTAAGTACGGTGGAGACAGTTTACTGTCTGCATTAAATGAGGTTCTAGGCAGCGTCTGGGAATCAGAAGAAGTCCCATCGGGTTGGTGTAAGTTACTGATTATCCCCATATACAAGAAGAGAGACAAGTCTTCCTGTGATAATCACAGAGGAATTAGCTTGACTTATATAGTATCTAAAGTCCTTGGCGCAATAATCATGCGCAGACTAAGTGGTGCTCGGGAGGCACAAACACGAGAGAGCCAGGCAGGCATTAGACCAGGAAGAGGGTGCATTGATCATATCTTCACCCTCCGACAGATTCTAGAACATAGGCATTCCTACCGGTGTCCAACAATCACTATATTCCTTGACCTAAAGGCGGAATTCGATTCTATCGACCGAGAGATTCTCTGGAGATGCTTGGCTGTAAAGGGAATTCCGAGAAAATACATTGCACTGATTAAGGCACTCTACTCGTACTCATTCGGCCAGGTGAGGGCTTACGGCGAGTTGTCTTCTGAACTGGTGACGACTAGCGGTGTCCGTCAAGGATGCCCATTATCCCCTTTTCTATTCAACTTCATCATAGATGTGTTAATGGACTTAACCCTAGGTGACTTCAGCGACTCAGTGATTGACTTGCTACCGGGGAATAATCTTGTTGACTTGGAATATGCAGACGATATAGTTCTTCTAGGCAAGGACGCTGACAAAATGCAGAGTCTCCTGAACACCTTGAGCTGCAATCTACGAATGTTTGGCATGCGATTCGCTCCCGCCAAATGCAAGATGATGTTACAGGACTGGACTACATCGACGCCTAGTTTAAAAATAGGAAGTGAAGTGGTAGAGTACGTTGACCGATCCACTTATTTGGGAAGTACCATCAGCCCCAACGGGCTGATCTCTGACGAAATCTCAGCACGAATACAGTGGGCTCGTTTCGCATTTGCCAGTTTACCCCGTCTCTGGCGTAGACGAGATATTCGACTATCGACCAAAGGGTGGGTGTACTGCTCATCAGTCCACTCCGTCCTCCTTTATGGCCAGCCGTGAGACCTGGCCACTGAGAGTGGAAGACATGAAAAGACTATCTGTCTTTGATCATAGGTGCCTGCGCTCTATCTCCCGTGTTAGGTGGTATAATAAGGTGAGCAACATTGAAGTTAGGCGTCGAGTTCTAGGTAAACAGGGGAAATCAATCGACGAAGTCGTGAAGCTACAAAGACTGAGATGGTTAGGACATGTGTTACGTATGCCAAGCCATCGCCTCCTTCGACGAGCTATGTTAGCGGATATAGGGTCAGGCTGGAAAAAAGCTAGCGGCGGTCAAACAAAAACATGGCCTCACCAGTCAATGAAATCCACAACAGTTGGTCTAAGCCACGTAGGAAGGTGTAGACTGGCTTCCTGGTTGGGGTCCTCGGGACGGTAAAAATCTATGGTTGGAAACAATTGGTGACATGGCTCAAAATCGTTCTCAGTGGCGCAGATGCATCCACTCCCTGTGACTTATGATCTCCAATGAAACTGTTTTGTTTTTCTTTATTACTCCTTTGTCTCACACCTCTGCTCACTGTTTCTATTATGCTTTTCTTGTACTTTCTTCTCTTGCTTCGCGTGCTACACGGAATGTGGCGACTTGAACTTCCGCACATTTGTGCAAAGTTCTATGTCGAAAACAGACAGACATTTCCACCAGGAACCAGAGGGAACAATAATAATATAATAACATCTATTATATATATATCCTTGAAATAAGCATAACATATTACGTAATAAGGCAATCAATCCATCTCCATCAATTGTTCGACAGTCACTAATCAGCATTATATTTTATTATTATTATTATTCTTATTTAATTATTCAAAATATACAGCGTGTATAATACCAACAGCGAATACTTTTGAATTAGAGAAGGTAGCCGAGGCGTACGTATCTCCCATTTCTACATTCCATACAGCCTGGCTGGTAATAAATACACTGGCATGTTCTGGTGATCCAATGTGGACTTGTACAATAAATTTATATCTCGAAGGTGTATTCAACTCACGTACAGTCTTTCTTATCATATTGGCTAGATTCATGGAAAGAACATGAGCTTGTTGTGGTTCGTAAACAACATCCTTCAGTGTGCTATTCAGTGTGGTACGAATTAAATTTTCTAACTGTAAAAAAGTCAGAAAAAATCAATAAAAAAAAACAACGAAACCAGTTGATATCATGGAATGTTAATCATACTGACACTACGCCGTATTGATATAAGTATAAAACTTGGATAGGCACTATGGTGTGGTAGAGCATAACTACTCCATCATTATGGATAAGATTTTATTTTGATTAACTGTCACACACAATGTAGTGTAGTGTTTGCCATACAGTAAATAATATTAACTGATCCGACCACACGCCATTTCGAGCACAATTTATTATTATTCCCACTCATAATCACCACATCAAGTCACTCAATCACTCATTCACGCAACTTTCTTGTTCCCTTCATTTATATACACATGAGTGGAACTGATGATTACATATTGGAACAAGACATATAAGCGAACAATATTGTTGTTTTCAATTAGATCCCCTTCTTCAGGCTTTACTCTAATTTACATAGACTTTATATATATAAAATTTTAACCAATGACGGTGATTTTGTGGATCAAATAATCATAATAATAATAGTAATAATAATGTGGTAAATGTTTTGAACGAAGTTAATAGCGATGATTATAATAATAACAAAATATTGTTAATAAGGCTTATATAGGTGATAAGAATAACAAAGTTAGTATATGCATATATGTAGACAATTCAATAAATAAATAAATTAGGTCAAATCAAATGGAACGATAATTAGAGTTTAAATAAATATCATAAAAGTATGAAGGAGGTGGATGATGAGAAAGGGTGGGAGGGTTTTGAATAGAATTCACCTAGGCCACGCAAGGGAGAGACAAAGGTAGAACAACAAATTTCTTTTGTATACAAAGACTAGGATTGTTCTCTCGAATTAATTCCCATAGCTTCTTCGGCTATGTGTAAAAGACGGGTTCTGATTCGGTTCGAAAGACTCGATGGAATGCGGTAAATAACTTTGAAGGCGGCACTATTTTTGTCCACTTGGTGACCACTGTCAATCAAATGAGTCAAAATAGAACTTCGTATGGACTTTATTTGACCTTTTCCGAACCATGCAGGAAGATGCTCATTAATGCATTTGTTAAGCTGTCTAGTTGTTCGGCCTATATAGCTTTCTCCACAGGAGCAACTAAATTTATAGATACACATGGAAGTGGCACAACTAGGTAGCTCATCTTTCACTTGAGCAATCAAAATTGGTCGGCTGGAAAATGACAAACAAAGGGTGGCAGCAGTATAAGTCCATTTTATCGCTCTCGATAATCTCTGACGTATTGAAGTCGTACATATATGCATATACTAACTTTGTTATTCTTATCACCTATATAAGCCTTATTATCAATATTTTGTTATTATTATAATCATCGTTATTAACTTCGTTCAAAACATTTACCACATTGTTATTATTATTATTATTTGATCCACAAAATCACCATCATTATTTAAAATTTTATATATATAAGTGTATGTAAATTAGAGTAACGCCTGAAGAAGGGGATCTAATTGAAAACAATATTGTTCGCTTATACGTCTTGTTCTAATATTATAAATGGGAATATTTGAAGATTACATATTGGAATGAAAATCAGTAATATAGGATAATGTACATTCAGAAATAATAATAATAATATGAGTGATAAAATGGGAAATAAGACGAGTGTTTGTTTTATAGTCGAAATAAGTGAGTAACTTGTTAGAATGTTGTCATGTAGGTGAATTGGAATATAATTTTGAGATCCTTGATATAATATAATATTTATTGTCTTTACAATAAGGATGGCCAGTGTCTGTGTCTATCCTTCAATAACCGTCTAATATTCACCCAGCAACTCAAAGATGTCTTACCTAACTAACCTTAGCTCTACTTCATGCATATACCATTTCAACTGTTCCTGTGGTTCAAGTTTTTTTTTCTATAAGGCACACGATTAGGCAGGTTCGTCTACGAGTTGGAGAACATTTACCAACTTGATTTAGCAGAGGGGAAATTATGGTGCATAAAAAGCTCGATCCTGTCACACTTGGTCGAGAATACTGAACATCGCATCGACGTCAACACAGTTTTCAGGGTTACATACTTAATTCTGAAGTCGTTATCACGTACAGTCTCCTACACATAACTGAAGCTGTTGCAATAAGATCGACTAAACCGGAACTTTGTATCCAAAAAGAACACGTCCAGACACTGTTCCTATCGTGGCCAAATTTGGATTGATGATTCTTCTTCTCACCAAGAATGCTTCAATCTTCGCTTATTATTACAATTATTACTATTATTCGCGATGATTGACGCCCTTCATGCAAACATTCCCTCAATACTATCAAATTTTTCATTTATACTATCCGGATTTATCACTAGTAAGTGATATTATCTCTTTTCTCAATATATGCCTCCACCTGTTTCTTCATTTCACATATTCGTTATTTCATTGTGAACCACCACCTCTTATTTCAGTCTTACTATATCCTGTTTAACACAGACCACTTTGTACTAGCCACTCACCTGACACCTTTTATAACAATGAACTGACTTACTTGTCAATTTTCCTACCCCACACTCTACAAATCTATTATGACGACTAATCACCACCACCATTGTCTCCCATTTCATCGAAACATTTTGTAATCGATTTCAGCCAACTAGCACGTTTGTCACACTCAAAAGAAACTACGAAATTGATATCATCTCGCGAAATTTGTCTTCTTAATGCCTTATTCAAATTTATCAAAAGGACTAATTGTTTTAATTAAGACTCAAATACGACTATTAATTTTGACACCCCATAACTGCTAATCTGTAATTGTAGGTTCAGAAAAACTTTATCCGCCACATAACTAACTGGCCATCATTATTGTAACGACAACAAATATCATAATATTTTATAATTGTAAGAACCTGAATAGGAGAAATTTTTGAAAAGAATATTCTTCGTTCAGAGTGACATTTGGGAATATTTCACACTACATTGCATCGTGCTGCAAAAACTGGTATGTTGTGTCAGCATGTTCGTGTCGATCACATGGTGATACTTAATTCTAATGTATTATCAAAACAATGTGCACCGTGGGGGCGAGCTACCTAGAGGCATGGTGGCCACTTGGGAAAAGCTGACTGACTGACTGATGGAATTCAGTCTGCACCAAACAACGAAAGGAGTAGAAACGTCGTCACACTACTTACTGACTAGTGTTCAATCGAAATGTGTGGTGTATATCCACATAAAAAAACAAGTTGTCATCTTATGGAAAATATTACTGTGTGTGTAATAAACATTAAAAGTATCTGGATGATAACAGGTCACCTACCGGCTTTTGCTTCACCTTTTCACTTGGTTTCGGCTTCAAATGATACGTATTCTCATATTTGATTGCCTTATTCCCCCCGGCACCACGTAACATCCCAGACAATGAACCATGTCCACCGAATATCGATTTCCGTGAAGCAAAACTATAGCGACTCTGTCTTCTAGAATGCGTGTTGGTGGCGGTGGCTGCGAATGATGTCCGTCGACTTTCACTCTGAACTGTGTCATGTATTGTTTGACGAACTTTGTCTGAATCATCGATTGAATCAATTCTGGAGAGTTTTTCATTAGACATTCTTCTTCTTCTTCTAAATTCCCGGGGTTATTTACTACCACAGTGTAGCGAAAAAAATAAAATAATTCTGGGAAAGGAAGCTACTAAAGTCAGTGAGGTTTGATCTTACTGAGAATATTAGAAGTCAGGGAAAATTTAAGCATTTAATTGGTGGATGTTGACTAGTAGTGAGTGACAGAATACAGTTCAGGATAACGCCCATTTCGTCCGTCCTATTTGGGACTCGTGGTTAGTTGGCTGGAGGATGTACCTACATTCCACAATGAGTCAGTCAGTGATGATGTTCCCACCACCGAGGTTTAAACTCAGTGTCCATAGATTCAAACACCAGCCAATGCGTTATCCACTAGACGACTTTGGTGACGAGAACCACCCCACCTCTTGTGTTCAACGGGTCATATTAATTATTTAATTGAATTTGAGGTTTTCCCGTTAATTACATGCCCAGACATCATCGTCGTTGAAACATCTGCGCAAGAAGTCAATAGACATTTCAACCTGAGACCGAGCACTTCGGTCCAGTCAATCGACGGACAGGAAAATCTAGAGTTCAATTAAATAATTAATATGACCCGTTGTACACAAAAAAATGGGGTGGATCTCTTGGCCCAAGTAGTCTATAGCAGACAACGCTTCAACTAGTGTTTGAAACTATGTGCACTAGGTTCGAGCCTCCGTGGTGGTGGGAACATTTTTTTCAAATTGTTTTTTAATTTTTGATTACAGCTTGATTCCACACTGTATTTTTGGTACAAGTATGGAATTTTCAGCGTGGATATCGGTAGCCCGAATTTCGCAGGCCGACCATAGTTATCAGGTGTGCGTCGGTGTGGGCTCGAACCACGGACCATGTGCATGGTCGGCGAGAGTCCTAACCACTGTGCCACCGACGCACACATCATCCCTGACTCACTGTGAAATGCAGGTACATCCTCCAGTCAACTGACCACGAGTCCCAAATAGGACAGACGAAATGCGCTTTATCCTGGCTGGATTCTGTCACTGCTAGTCACCATCCACCAATTAAATTACACTATAATTCTTTTGAAAATTATTATGGCTTGAGAATGAATGTATGCGTTGAAAATAGACTTTTTTTCTTTGAGTCACATATATTTTTTTGTCTTTCTAATCTGAATACATAAACATGACTGCAATATGTTTTGACAGTAATAGTAATAATAATAATTTGCTTCATTCCTAAACAGTACTTGTGAATAAAGGATAGAATTCTCACCATTTCACTGCAGTATATTCCATCCAGTTTGTACATTAACAATGAATAAAATTCTACATAGATTATGGCTAGTCTCAGTTAGTTTTTGACAACAACATATCGGTAGCATATCGGTCGGTAGCAAAGCCAAATGTGAACAGAATGTTGTTTGTAGGTGTTAGAAAAGTAGATACTACTAGCATTTTTACTGACGTAAGCGGTAACAAAAGGGGTCGAGATATACAGAGAGTGTGACAGAACGAACAAGAATCTTTTAAGTAGAGTTTGTAAAGAAGAGAGAAACAAAACTTCACATAACAAAAAAAGGAAAAGAATGAAAGAAAACGTTGTACCTATAAATGATATGAGTTGTTCTACTGACTATTAAATAAGTCATAGGTTTCATGCCTAATGCTTTCTTCTTTATTGCACAGAACACGAGCCAAGTAGAGTGTCGTTGAGTTTTTGTACTTGCTAGTACGAGCATATAGTTTTCTGCATAGGCTTCTGGACCTGCCTGATCAGATAGATACAAGGGGAGAGTTGTGAATGAAGAGGGTGGTAGTGTGAGTTAGATAGATAGATAGAATGGATTTAGCCTAGCCCATTTTTCACATGAGTCTAAGTTCCTGTTGACCAGAATATTAACAAGTTGGTTGGTTAAGTGGCACATTGTTTGCCCTGCTGATAACCTTTTACACAACACCCTACGTAATTAGATATAGTCGTTCTTCAGTAGCCAACCCTGAAAAAACTAAGGCGGAACAATAGAGAATAACACAGTGGGATGGAAGAGTTATTGATGTCATTATGACTGACAGTTATGCATATCAGTTAAACATCCCTCCCTCTCAGAAGAAGTGATACAGCCAGGAGTTTCAGGAATTACAACATTTTGATGTGGTTTTGTTCTCCGAGGTGGATGGTTAGTTTGCGAAGCTTTCATTACCCTACTGGGTGACATCTTCAGCGCATACTTCAATTTATCGAAGTGAGCTTTTAGATTTCTCCACGAGTTCACCATTAATCATCTCTCCTGGTCGGTGACCACCTTGAACGTGATTGGTTGTTTATGTGTGTTTTCACACCTTCTAGGTTACTTGTGTTGGAACTGACTGTTTCTTTGATTTGAACTTTGACCCTTTGTGTGTGAAGTTTCTTTCTTATTGATTGATAAATTTTGTCTATCTCGATGTGTCTATTGATTGATGATAATTCACTGGAATACCAGCCAAGCTTCTAAAAATTCTCCAGCATTCTTGTTCTTTCCTCTGTCTAATATTTGAACGTTGTTTGTCCCAGTCGAGTTGATGTCCGTCGTTGTCTGTGTGTAGTGAAATGAGGGAGTGGATATCATATCTTTTGAGGGCTAGCTTATGTTCATGGATACGAAGACGAAGAGTAGGGGACGTCCACTTTCGCCGATGTAGTGTTTTTTGCAGTTGTTACAGTTTATTTTGTAGATGATGTTGGTTTTATCTTCTTCCGCTGTTGAGTCTTTTGGTTGACATAGAATTGAGTGCAGCGACTTTGTTGGTTTGTGTACGACGTCAATTCCTCATCAAGGTTTGAAGAGTCTTGTAGTGATTTCTGAGATGTCCTTTATATATGATGGGGCGATTTTCTTTGTGCTTTCCTTGGTGGCTTTTGCTTTGATAGGTTGGCGGCTTGGGGGTATATGTCTTTTGATGAAATTCCGTGGATATCCATCGATTCTTTTGGAAGACGTCCATGAGATACTTTTCTTAAATTTTCCTTAAGGTGGGAGTGCTGGAATGAGTCCTTGCTCTCTTGAATAGTGTTTGTATGCAATTCCTTTTGTGTGTTATTGGGTTGTTGCTGTTGTAATTCAGTATTTGGTTTGTGTGAGTTGATTTCCTATGAACTTGAGTTTCTAATTCTCTTGTGGTTGTTCGCCTGACTAAGACGTCCAAAAATGGTATTTTGTTCTCGGATTCCTCTTCTCTTGTGGATTTGATGTCGTTGAAGACGTTGTTTATGACGACTGGGACAACGTTCAAATATTAGACAGAGGAAAGAACAAGAATGCTGGAGAATTTTTAGAAGCTTGGCTGGTATTCCAGTGAATTATCATCAATCAATAGACACATCGAGATAGACAAAATTTATCAATCAATAAGAAAGAAACTTCACACACAAAGGGTCAAAGTTCAAATCAAAGAAACAGTCAGTTCCAACACAAGTAACCTAGAAGGTGTGAAAACACACATAAACAACCAATCACGTTCAAGGTGGTCACCGACCAGGAGAGATGATTAATGGTGAACTCGTGGAGAAATCTAAAAGCTCACTTCGATAAATTGAAGTATGCGCTGAAGATGTCACCCAGTAGGGTAATGAAAGCTTCGCAAACTAACCATCCACCTCGGAGAACAAAACCACATCAAAATCATCCACCTGAGCCACAAATCTTCTCTATCAAATCTAGATTACAACATTCCATTCAACAACCAATCAATAAATCATATTTGTGAGTGATATCTCATAACTCTTACCTCAAGTCAGGAAGCAGTATTCGCATTTTTCTCTCAAGGATGAATGAGCAAAGTTTAACAATAGCCTCCCAGGAGTGCGAACGCACACGAGTGACCTTCAGCTGACTAATCATAATAATGAGAAATGTTCGCTCACAAAAAACCAACAGGTGATCTTTCTTTGACACATGACTTAAAAATACGTCTGTACATGTATATTCACCAAGATGACTACAGATAAAACTGTTTTTTCGTGAACCGTTTATTTCTCTCTCTCTCTCTCCGTCATCCTGCTAACAGTCTTCCAAAAAAGCTCCCTCGGTTGAATTATGATGGTTTCCAGCAAGAGGATAGACGACTAATTACCAGGAAAACGTGGATAATAAAACAAATTAAAATAAATGACATCAACTATAAATGTATATCCCTAATCGTAACCATAAGCTTAATCCTGACCCTACCACTAAACATAACCTTAATCCTAGCCCTAATCATAACCATTATCCAAGCCGTAATTCTAACCCTCATGCAAATATTATAACCCTAATCCTAACCCTAACAAGCTATTAACACATTGTGCAAACAGTACTTAAAAACGTGATTTGGGTGAAATTCACTCCTTAGTTGGTGGTGAATAGTATTGATATTTTTAGCTATGTGATCAGATGACAGATGCTGTTAGCCAACGACAACGATGCGTTCAAGTCATTGGAGCGTTCACACTCCTGGGGGGACGCTATTGTTGAAATTCGCCTATGAATGCATATTGAATAATCCACAAATTAACGAATAATAAAAATAAAAAAATAAAATGGGAGTCATACTATAAATTGAAAAAATACACCCTACAGAGGGAATTGTCCACTTATACCCACCACTTTTATCCTCAGATAGTCAAACTATCTCGTTTAGAAAAAAGAGCACATCACATAATTTTAGCATAAACTTAATGAGAGTTAATTCCTCGCAGTACATGCCATCAGATTACCCCCCCCCCGCCCCCGAAGTCAGCAGTTCAGTTTTGTGATCTTATGAGGTATAACTAATTCTCATAGATTGACACAGGATAAAATGCCAGCTGCACAGTTCACCATCCGGTGTCTATAAAGCACCCCCACCATATAGTTTTCCTAGCTAGATGGTATTTACACACTTTCCAATTTTCTGAGATGGTTAACAAAAATTTTTCATAACTCAACTCAAGTGATTTTTGGCGGTAGATTGGATAATGCGACAGACAGGCAGCGAGCCGGGCAGAACAGGGCAGCGAGGAAACAGGCATCAAATTG